TCCTAACTGTCTGCAACACTTCCCCCATAGAAAGATACCAGAAACCATTGAACATATTTTTTTGCAGTGCCCGGGGGCAGTCCTCACCCTGCATTGGTGGGATTGCATATGGAGGCAAACAGTAGGCGATGAGGACTGGCCCTGGGAATGGAGGGCGATACTCAGAGGGCATTGGCCTCATGGCCAGTCCTGTGATTTCAGATCCAATATGTTTCAGCTGGGCAGACGAGCCATACTATGGGCGTTGTGGTGAAAACGATGTGTACTGGCCATAGACAAGGCACGGGTGGAAGGTCCGGAAGTGACAGAGCAAATCAAATCGCATATACAATTAGAATTGTTAACGCGATGGCAGATGCTAGAAAGGCAATTGGCTCTCTTGAGCGATGCCGCAGAGATACAAAAGAAAATTGAAACTTTCGGCAAGGAATGGTTGGGGAGTGAACAAGGGAGATGGACCGCGTCGGTGAGTTGGGAGGGGAGGAACAAGGGGACCGAGTTAAGAACAGACAATCTGAAAAATGGAACACTTCACAGGGATTATAAGCTGGTCTTCAACAACTGGACTGTCCGAGACCCGATGGAGCCCCTTCCCCCCCCCCACGACTTTCCGGACCTCTTCCCCCCCAGTGCCCTGGCAATTGTAGATGAAGCATGGTATGGCTAATTGGGGTTGAACAGTGGGAAGGTGCTCCTACCCCAATTCCTTATAAGGAACTCTCTTCTGGAGCCCCCGAGGGAGTTTTCCTTCTAACCAAACAGTGTTACAATCTCCAGCAGAGGTATCAGCAGAGGTATCAATGCATATTGAGAGATCTGGCGCCCTGAGGGTGAAAAGATACGGGAGATAAGGGCTACATTATGATGATTTTCACAACACTTGCTCAGTCAATCCTCTGTAGACAGCGTAATCAATGCTGGCAGGGCTCACAATTACAGGCTTACTCATTCTCAGGTTTTGTATAAGGGACGCTGGACCCATTTTCCAGCAGGTGACGCTCCCCACCAATAGATGGAGCCTCTCCCCCGGTGTTAGTGGTGTCTGCTCTTATCAGACGCACTAACATTGACGGGGGGTGTTAAAAAAAAAAAAAAAAAAAGGTGGACCGAGGTTGGCACCGGAAAACTGCAGTTATAACCAATTACCAGATGCACAAATTGTGGACATACCCAAACAAAATTATGGGCATACCCGGGACCTGAAGAGGGGCGTATGAGATACTTCAATGAGACTCAATGGTCAAGCTTTCAGATGAACTCACTACAAGAGACACACGACACCAAGACACGACAAAGACAAACCAGCTTTACAACGAACCCGAACGTGACCTGTTGCATTCAAAAGAACAATCAATACTCAAGCAACTATGGCAGAACAAAGTTTTGCTTCGGCGATGACCCGACCGGTTTCATCTAACCGCAGCGTCAGACTCATCAGGGGTCTTGGTAACAAACAGGAAAATGCAAAGCTTAAGTACTGACACTTAGTCCTACACTAGCCTATTGCACAGTCGAAACAAAATATGAGCCGTCGCTTTGGTGAAACCCTACCAACTAGTCAACGTCCGTCAACATAACGTTTCCTGAATCTCGCCTCAGTTACCATCTATCGACATTCATTGGTTACTAAAACTTACAATTCACTCTTAGTCCGAGTTCTACCGGTAAGTCCCAGACCGTCTGTTCAAAACCTATGACCACGTTCATAATTCGAACTAGTACCGCGCTTTTCAGCAACACGCCCAACTCTTCGCCCACTTGCCAAATTCAAAAGTTCTCGATACTTCTATTCTAAAAATATTTATTAAAAACGAAACGTAAAGCATCAGCCAACACACCACTTGAAACATCAGTTCTCCCAACGCCTACCAAGTGTCGGACTCCTATCGACTAGTGTCTGCCACTACTTCTTGTGACCACAACAACTATCTTACTAGGCCCATTTAGCCTTTCGACAAAACCACAGCCGCCACTCCCTATAGACCTGCCCAGCTCCCTGCTCAACTCATTTACCCCCCACATACCCCCTTCTTCTATAACATCACTACTCCAGTCGACAACCCCGAGAGTCCCCGACCCATTTCTCAAACCTCCTCTATTTTGTCAGGATAGGCAACCAATTTTCCCATAGGCCTCCGAACTTCCGTGAAAAAAACACCAGTGCCGTATCGAACATCCTGTCCGGATACCCCCTCCTCCAAAGTTCACTCTTCAACACGATAAAAAAAGGTAATTCCGCACCACTCTTTGAAGCGTAGATCCTTGCTCGATGTAAGAAAGAACCGATAACAACCATTTTTTGTTGTTTACTGGAAAAGGAGACATAGTCTTGCACGTTCTGAAATATTAACTTGTCGTTCAATCCCTCCCTTTGATTCTTCATAAGCGGTATACACAGAATCTCTTCCTTTACTTCCTCGATACTGAGAACACAACCTAAAAAGTCCCATGAATTATCTTTATTAGTCTGCTCCAAAACCAGGTTCGAATGATAGCAGTTACCGAATTTTACGATCAACCCTTCGCTGTTCTTCTTCGACAGTTGGTTACCCCCCTTGTAGTACGCAAACACGGAAACGTCATCAACTAACCGAAATCCTCTAAACAACTTTCTGTCCTCGCCCAAACTGTTCAAAAAAACATACTTATTGTACGCGCACAACAAACACATAAATGCCGGACTGGATGATTTTCTCATAGGGATTCCGACCACCTGACGCAGTCGTTGACCAACTGTCATAATATACGTATTCTCCAGTTCGAAACAGACAAACGCCACAATATAAGAAAAGTTCAAAAAGTGTTATCCCCCCTCTACTTTTTCCTTTAGCAGTTCCGCCCCTCTTCCCTGTTTCTTCACAGCCACCCCTTTCACGCTCTCTTTCTTCCAAAAGTCAACGACCCATTCAACGGCTCTCAATATGGACCCGTGCGGCAAGTTTGAAAACATTTCTTGTATATCAAACGATGCCCCTACCAAAACATCCCTCTTCCCCAGTTTCCCGTTAATTTCCGTAATCTGCTTAATCAGAGAATTAGCGCTCTTCATGTTCAAATTAGAGCCTTTCGGCTGATTCCACAACATCAAGTTGATCGCCCGAGCTACCATCTTCCCTCCACGCACTGACCCCTCTGGGTAGGAAGGACAAATGGGCCTCCATCTCGTGGTATCTTTGTGCTTGGGAATACAGTACGACTTCCCCAAAGTGCCTTTCTTGTTTCATGCATTGAACTTTTTCAAACCTGCATCATCATATGCCTTCGCACATCTCTCCACAATTTGCACTTCTTCTTAATCACAATGCACAAATGAAGGATTTTCAAAGAACAGTGTCTCCATTCCTTGCCCATAGACCTTCGGACAACATACAAAAGTGTCTTTTATGTTGTGGTCTAGTGGACAGCAAACCAATTCCCTTAGTTGCTCAAAGGGCTTCAGATCGGACTCACTAATACCCTTGCAAACCTCCTCTGTGGTAATTGAAAAACACCCTTTCAGATCCGCAATCATTCCATCTTCAATCGGTGGAAGGGAGGAAAAAGCAGAAAAAACGGAAAAAACCTTCTGTATATTATACTTAAAGCCCTTACCCTGTAGGAGTGCGTTGGACGTAACACATTTTTAGACATCTTGATCCATCCAGGGAGATCATCAACCTTATTCAATCTACACGATACATGCCCGTTCACCCGTACGAAACCCGGATCAGCCCCCTCACATACACAGTCAAAGACACTTTCTCTGGAGACCTTCCGGTAGTTATGAAATTTATCCCCAACTGTCTTGTTCTTACCCCAAACCACCCGCGTCCTTCGCACCAGCATTTCCTTCCACGCATGCGATACATCCAACTTTATTATGAGCTTAGCACACAGGATCCGACTTTGCTCTTATTCAGAACCTCATCATAGGGCAGTTTGACTATCAGACGATGTCTAACTCGTAACCCAAAACCTCCAAAAATGGTACTGGACAAAAAGTAACGCAACCTGCATCTTGTTCGTTTCTCTTCGAAGGTCCTAATAGTCGTATACGCATATATCAACTTCTCAAGCCCCCACGAAACCAACTCTTTCCGTTTCATAGGACATTGCAGTATTTCAACCAACGGAGCTTTAAACGCTAATCACTTTATGAGGAAGGGAACTACCGACAACACAGTCAGAATTACCTCATCTTTCAACCACTCGCGAGCATACCGTAACTCGCCTGTACCCGACCCACATCGCACAATACTGCCACTATACTTGCGTTTGAGGACCTTTCATCGGTCCAAAAAATGACTACCGCCCTTACACGAGATCATACAACTATGTATTGAATGCACTCTACAGTGCTTAAAGATTCTGAGCAAACTACCCGTTTTCAAACCAAAGGTAGTACAGAAGGACAACAAGCCGCCTTCATTGCTCTTCTTGCTTCCCAGCTTTCCCTCCTTCTTCTTGGCCTTCCTTCTCTCCCTGCACCCTGGTCGGACTCGCTTCCCCCACCGACCCTTACCCCGCGTGTTCAAAGACGGACACAGTTTTCGAATGAAAAAATCCTCGGTCTCCAACAGATCTTCAGCTGAGCACAGCGCTAGTGGAATAACAACATACTTATGCATTCCCTATCTTCTCAACCATCGGTACAATCGTTCATTCCTCTTCCCCTCTTGAATCCCCTGTACCTGACCACATCTATATACGTTCTCACCCCATCTTGTAAATATATCTCGTCCAACGTAGAAGTGACAAAGCATACACAACCGGTCCACTCCCTCTCCCAATGTCAAAACCCCCGCTTTGAGCTTGAATAATGTAACTCACCAACTTCTCCCCCCATGCTATCTGGCCTCCGACAATCAGTAGACAACATAAAATGCTCACAAAAACATTCAACACTCTACATCTCAGTCTCGCAGTAGATGTGGAACGGACCTTACAACAGTAGTTTAATAACCTTCATGTGTCAGTCACGTTCGGGGCCGACTTCAAGAAGTGGTCGAATCCCTACCATCAATCGGGTCATTTTCGCCATCCTCCGACACGTCGTGCACGAGTGCTTGCTTGCCCTTCCCTCTTTCTTCCTCAAACTCTCACGTTGTTTGTAACTTAGCTATCTCTTCTCTTGTAACACCCAGTTTCTCGTACGTGACTCCTTCCTTGTCGCAAATGCCTTGAATCTCTTCCTTCTTCAAAATTTTCAAATCCTTCCTCGCTTTCCTCAGAAACTTCTCTCTCTCGCTGACATGACCGGCCGGACTAACAAACTTCTTCATCCTATCGGTCTTTCTTAACGAACTATCCACCACCTCGTCCAACTGCTGTTTTAAATTTATAACCGGCCCCTGACACCCTCTCTCGACTTCCAAAGTTCTCATTCGCTCACGGAGTTTGTCCATTTCTCGCTCATCCTCTAACTGCTTTTCCCTCACCTTCGCCAGCTCCTCCTCCGCATCTCGTTTGGCCTTAGCTTCGTTCATTCTCATCTCCTGAAGTACGTCAACCTCCATTCCGTGGCACTTGACCACACTCTTATAATGTTCATCCACCACCCTTTTTGTACCTTCAGGAGTTGATGTCTGCGTTACCCTGGGTCGCACCCTCGCTTGCGTGGCTGGAGACGCCCCGACGGCCAGACTACCTCTCTTGTTCCCGGGTCGCAGCGCCTCGCTCTTCCATGCGTCCGCGTCGGCCACCGCCTCCTGCCTCAACCTTTTTTCCTTAGCAATCTCATCTTCCAGTAGGCCAAACCTTGTTTCAGATGCTTTTCGCATATTCAAGATCTCCTTTTGTAACATCGTGACAGCCTCCTTGTCAGTTATTGACGTAGATGCTTCATTCGTTCGTTGATTCTTCTTCAATCGCTCGATTTTTTCCCTTAGTCTATCAACTTCGTTATCCTCCTTGTCTTTCTTCCCACCAATCGCGCTGTTGATCGCGTCCAGCCTGGAGTTCATTTCCTTGGCAAATACCGAGTGCATCTCTTCTCGTTCTCGCTTGTCTTTTTTTCGTTTTTTCTCCTCTTCTTTCTCTTTCTTCTTCTTCTCTTCTTCTTCCCGAGCTGCCTTCTCCTTCGCTTCGTTCGCCTCGTGCTTACCTTTAATCTTAGCTATAAGCTCCTCAAGGTTAGACACTCTCTACCGAAGACCTTCTCCTCCGGAATAACTATTGTAGTAGGAATACGCCGGAGGTTGATGCGCTAGTGTGTTGTTAACGTACGAAGGATTATGCGGGACAATAGTTATACTGGTGGACACATTCTGACTATCCAACCGCTTATCTGGTAGGTGTCAGAATCTCGCTATATGACCTAGCTGACCGCAGTTATAGCATCCTGCATTCCTTGGTTGAGAATTGCCCTGATTGCTAGCCATCATGCTGACTGACTCGAAGCCACCAAACTGTAGTTCAACCTCCACGTTGGTTACTTCGTGAAACAAAGTATGAGATACTTCAATGAGACTCAATGGTCAAGCTTTTAGACGAACTCGCTACAAGAGACACACGACACTAAGACACGACAAAGACAAACCAGCTTTACAACGAACCCGAACGTGACCTGCTGCATTTAGAAGAAGAATCAATACTCAAGCAGCTATGGCAGAACAAAGTCCTGCCTCGGCGACGACCCGACCGGTTTCATCTAACCGCCGCGTCAGACTCGTCAGGGGTCTTGGTAACAAACAGGAAAGTGCAAAGCTTAAGTACTGACACTCAGTCCTACACTAGCCTATTGCACAATCGAAACAAAATCCGAGCCGTCGCTTTGGTGAAACCCTACCAACTAGTCAACGTCCGTCAACATAACGTTTCCTGAATCTCGCCTCAGTTACCGTCTATCGACATTCATTGGTTACTAAAAACTTACAATTCACTCTTAGTCCGAGTTCTACCGGTAAGTCCCAGACCGTCCGTTCAAAACCTATGACTACGTTCATAATTCGGACTAGTACCGCACTTTTCAGCAACACGCCCAACTCTTCGCCCACTTGCCAAATTCAGAAGTTCCCGATACTTCGCCCACTTGCCAAATTCTGAAGAGGGGCGGCCAAATTATTCATATACCTTACTACCGGATGCCTGAAATTATGCTAATTCCCAGCAGCCTCTGGGCCACCC